TCTTTAGGCAGGATAGACAGTCCTCTACCCAGGACTTTCAAAGCTCCCCCTGGACCACTGAATCACGCCCCCAGTCTGTGGCCTATTTTCAAGCCTTTCCCTCTGCCTCCAAGTGTGCAGCCTGATCTGGATCTCCCGCTTGGACACATGATGGAAATGATCCTCCAAACCATGCACTCCTTCCCACGGCCTTTCTTAGGCTGTTCCCTCTTCCAGTGATACTTCACCCTGAAGAATGCTCCTCTCTTCCGATGATGCTTCAGCACCCCGGAGAATCTGATCGAATCCATCAAGGTGCAGCTTCAATGCCTCCTCAGTTTCCTTCGGCCTCTGCTTGCTCACTGGCAGAGAACTTTCTTGCATTTGGATCACTGTAACAATTTATATTCATTGCACAAGAACAATTTCCTGATTCATGGATGATTTCTTCCTCTTTCTCTTATGTAAGCGATCGATGGTTCTCAACCAGGGGCTCATGCCCCGTCTGTACCCAGGTGTACTTGGTGGAAGTTCTTGGTTGTGCGGGTAGCACTGGTATCGGGATAGAAGCTGGGGAGGCTGGTAGACATCCCACAACACCGGGCAGCCTGCCCCAACACAGAGTTATCCAGTCAAGATGCTAATAGTCCAATTGAGACACCCTGTGTTCAATTATAAGCTTCCTGAAGGCTGAAACAATGCTTCTTATTCTTTTTGTTCTCCAGAGTACTCAGCTTTCATATAGAAGCATGTTCAACTATTTGAAATGAATGGCTATAAATATTTAATATACATGTGCATATCTTATTTGGAGCCTATACGGAGGTGCCGCCTGCCCAAAGAGAGAGCTCTCACGTGCGTGCCCCTCTTAATATTCCCACTGGTGACCACATGTAGTTGCTAGGAGAGCTGATGGCCATGGGGGCCCTTCACCATTGACGTTCTCTGGGTCCCTCCCTGCTTCAAAGGACCCCACCAAGTCCCAGACCATTTCTTCTCCATGCCCTATAGAAACTCCTTCACTAAACTGCTTCAGTCCATTGTCTTTATGGAGGGTCGGTGTAAGGAGGGCTCTGTTGGGCAGGGTTCCCGCCTCCTCTGGGAATCTCTCTTTAGTCTCTCACCACACTGTGCTGAGCTTAGCTGCTCAGGCGTGTTCGACTCTGCGACCCCGTGGACTGCAGCCCGCTCGGTTCCTCTGGCCATGGGATTCTCCAGACAAGAATACTGGAGTGGGTTGCCATGACCTCCTCCAGGGGATCTTCCCAACCCAGCACTCGAACCCAGGTCTCATGCATTGCAGGCGGATTCTTTACCATCTGAGCCACCAGGGAAGAAGGTGACTTTGATTGCAGCCCCTTCGGCTTGTAAACGATGAGAGTAAGTTTCTCCATGTTATTCCATACCCTTTATCCAAGGACCTACATGATGAATACCTACTTAAGTTTAATTCCAGGAAACATTTCTGTCTCCATAGATGCACATGTATGCTATCTATTGTCAAGAAAACAACAATCTATGCAACCCAATATGCTTCTCTTTTGGGCTTAGCTGTCAGATAAGTTAGAGCCAAATTCAATATCCAAGTGTTAGAATCTGCTCAGCTCAGGTGTCTGAAACTATCTATTTCTTTTGCTTTCTTCAGCAGGAGTGTTATCCTTAAATGCCTTCTCTTGCACTGTGTTTTAATCTTTAAGCTGCTTCAAGTCTTTGGGAAGTAAGCAGGATAAAAAAAAAAAAAAAAAGACAACGGACGTCTCAATGTCATTTCAAGCCATCTTCTCCTTTTGGGCCCAGAGGATCGGCACTCAGGGGGTGGGGCCACCTGGTTAAAATTCTAGCTTTCATCTGTCATCCATGTACCCTTAGGCTTGTTATTAAACCTCTCTTGGAATAATGAGAACTACTGCAGGATATTGTTGGTGAAATCAAATAACTGATAAGTTAGACACAGAAAGACAAATGTCATGTGACATAACTTATAGGTGGAATTAAAAAAAAAAGGTACAAATGAACTTATTTACAGAACAGAAATAGTGTCACAGATGTAGAAAATAACCATGGTTACCAGGGGGAAGGAGGGAAGGCGTAAATTGGGAGATTGGGATTGGCATATACACATTTCTCTCTGTAAAGCAGATAACAAACAGGGACCTCCTATGGAGCATGGGGACTCTGCTCAATACTCTGTAATGGCCCACATGGGGAAAGAGTCTGAGAATACGGAGAGCGGGTATATATGTATGTGCAGAGCTGACTCACTTTGCTGTGTGCCTGGAGTTCACACAACACTGCACATCAGCTGTGTGAGAGTGAACTCACTCGGGCGTGTCCGACTCTCTGTGGCTCCCTGGACGGTAGTCAGCCAGTTCCTCCATCCATAGGGCTTTCCAGGCAAGAATACTGGAGTGGGTTGCCATTTCCTGAATCAACTATACTCCAACACAGTTTAAAAAAAAAAAAAGAAGTGATATGTCAGTGAAGGCACCTTTCTGTCTGTCTGGGATATTTCCTGCTATATGTATGCATGTATATTTCATATGCATATACATGTATATGTATGCATATATACATACATATGCATGTATATGTTTCAATGCTGGCATCATTTATAAAGCCCAGTTTGCTATTTACTCTGACTGATATTGGCTACTTTTCAGTAATACTAACAATTTTACACTTTAACGTAGATGGTTATAGTTTTAAAGGTAAAGGTAAACTTTAAAGTTTTAAAGGTAATGTAACTGATGGGAAGTTGAAATTCTCTGTTCCTGTGATATTTTTTCTTTCCTTTTTCTAAAAGAAAAATGAAGTATAGTTGATTTACTTCAGCTGTACAGCGCAGTATAGCTGTGTGCTGTTATACATTATACGTATGTAACAGTTTTATGTGCTGTTATACATTATACATTATACGTATGTAACAGTGCTATGTGCTGTTATACATTATACGTATGTAACAGTTCTATGTGCTGTTATACATTATACGTATGTAACAGTGCTATGTGCTGTTATACATTATACGTATGTAACAGTTCTATGTGCTGTTATACATTATACGTATGTAACAGTGCTATGTGCTGTTATACATTATATGTATGTAACAGTGCTATGTGCTGTTATACATTATACGTATGTAACAGTTCTATGTACTGTTATATGTATGCATATGTGCATGTATATATTCATTTTAAGTTATATGTACATGCATATATTCATTTTCAAATTCCTTACAGGTTATTCTGTTCCTGGGATGTTTGTTTCTAGAGGTAAGTCATGTAAAAGCAGCATGACCCTTCACTTTAGCCCTTTTGATTAGCCATTGTGGGTGCTATTTTCAGTGCTTGGCAGTGTTCGTCCGTCTGCCTCTTAGGCCTCTGGTTGGCCTTGAGGTTTCACATTGTAAGTATATGGAATATGGCCAAAAAAGGCTACTTGGTGTTCTTCTTGCCTTAGCATGGCACGAATTTAGAAACCCCATGAAGAATATCCAGTATTATGGATATTCTTTTTCACTAAATGGCTTTTTAGTGAAAAACATGTCTTTTTCACTAAATGGTTTCCCATTTGTTTAGAAGCCCAAAGGCCTTGAAAATGTTTAAAAACAAAACAGAACACTATAATCCCTTTGAAAAAAGAAACTTCAATTTTGAGAACAGTTTGAGTCTCACAACTTGAGATGAAGATGGGGAAGGCCCTGAGGCTCCCGGAGATACCACGGCCTGTCTTGGTCCCAGGGCTGCTAGTAGCAGCCCCAGTTCTGCAGGGCCACGGCAGTCCTCACAGGACACGTGGCTCTCTTGTTCCAGGCTCCTGAAACTATTAAAACTAAGACCCAAATCCAGAGACACTTTCCTTACTGAGCTGAGAGGAGGAGATCTGAGGTGAAAGTTAGGAAACCATCCAGAGTGGTATTATCCAATATGGTAATCACCAGCCGCGTCTGTCTCTCTAAATTTATGGTTTTATTAATTGAGAGGGAATAAAATTAAAAACTCTGTTCCTGCATTTCTCTAGCCACTATTCAAAAGCTCAACGGCCACATGTGGCTAGTGGGACCCACCTTGTACAGTGCAGAGGTAAAAGGTGGAAGTTTTTTTCATCACACAGAGAACCACTCAACAATGCTTTCTAGAGCCGTTTTCTACTTCCGGGGGGCTTGACATAGAGAAGTGACATCATGGCATGCCCACTCCTTCTGACAACTCTGAAGTAAGTCTTCTTTCTGGAGCAGGGGCTTTGTGACAGGGGTTCTTGGCAGTGACCCACCCCTGGGTCTACCTGTTCGGGTGCCTTCATGTTCTGCACTGGGGCCTTGCATGCAGTTACAGAGCCCTGGGAATAACTGGCATCTGTCCTTAAGTCTGAATATGTGTGCATGTGTGTTCAGGGCTGTGACCACCCACTCACCATCTCAAATTGGAAGTGGTGCCCTGAAACCATTTACCTTCTAAGTGGAGCTCTTTCTAGCATAGCCCATGGCATGAAGTCCTAATACGTACCCCCAACAAAAGGATCATGGCTTCTGAAAGGCCAAATTGTTCTAACTTTGCTCCCTTTTATGTTGATTTGGAGAAATTAAAGTGTCCACTCAGGTGTTAGGTGCTTCTTACGTAGTCTCTAACTTCCCAGGGAGATTTCTACTTCATACACCTCAGTGCATATAAAGAGACCAACGAAACACTCTCACCGTCGTCTCTCCATGTACCTAAATCCAGCTGACCTTGACTTTTCTTAATTCTATGCTTCTCTGGAGGCTTTGGCATGGAAACCAGTCCCTCCCTGAAGAGCCCACATAGTGCCTTTGAAGCTTAGAACAATCTTTTTTCTGGTCCTAAAATAGCGTCGCTCTGATTACCCCTGCTGCCCCGCTGTCGTCACCCAGGGTTCTGGCCCTGCCTCTGCTTATCCAGATAACGTCTGGCACACAGAACACTGTCAGTTTTGCTCCTAATTTGACATGCTCACCCATGTTCTTTGTTGAAAATAATAACCTCCGTCACCCTTCACTGAGCTCTTACCATGTACCAGAAGCAGAAGTGGGCGCTTCACAGGTGTCATATAAACTTAATCTCACTGCCGCCACGGCTACCGCCCTCTTCCAAGTCACGGTCACCCTGGAACCACTGAGAAACTCCCCAAACAGGCCTACTTTCTTCTGTCCTTGCCCCCTTGAGCCAACTCCCAACCAGGCAGCTGGAAAGATGCTTCAAAATATGAATGAGATGACATTGTTCCTCATTGGCCTCTTCAGATTCAGAGACAAGGTCAAAGTCTCTACAATTAGCTATAATACCCTAAGCCAGTGGTCCCCAATCTTTTCAGGGTCTGACTTCATGAAAGACAATTTTTTCACAGCTGGGGTAGAGCGGTGGAGAGGAGGGGATGGTTTCAGGGTGATTCAAGCACATTTCACTTATTGTGCACCGTGGAGCATCAACTCCACCGCAGATCATCAGGCACCAGATCCCAGAGGTTGGGAACCCCTGACCTAAATGATCTGCCCCCCCGCCCTGGGTCACTTCTTAAGCACAGCTCTTGTCACGCAGCCCTCCTCACTCTGATCCAGCTGTGCTGGCCCCAGGGCCTTTGCACTGGGTTCTCTCTGCCGGGTATTCACATGGCTCATTCACCTCCTTCGAGTCTTTCTTTTTTCAAGTATCACTTTCCCTGTGAGGGCTGCCCATCTGCTCTATTTAAATCAATTGTACACACACATACATATACATACACTTACACTATTTATTTCCTCTATACTTGCCACCATTAGCAGGTCATATATTTTACTCATTTGTTTGCTAGTATATCAGTTTCCCCCAACAAAGAATCTAAGCTCCATAGAGATAGGGATTTTGTCTGTTTCATTTATCAGTTTTCCCCAGGGCCTAGCACTGTGCCTGGCACATGATAAGGTACTCAACAAGCATTTTGCATATGTTCTCAGATCATGCTTCATTCCTATTTACAAGTGGGGAAAATGAAGGGGAGGCCGCTTTCCTGAGACCACACAGCTGGTCCTCATGTGCTTACTCCCAACACGTGCTCACCCCCCACATGACAAGCACTGTTCCCTCCACAGAGTCCCTCCAGGCATGATGCTGCCCCTACTCCATGGCCCACTTGTGTTTTCAGGCAGAGGACTTCCAGAGCATGGCCAGCTCCCACAAAAGCGTGATCACCGAATCCCTAGGATGCCAGATGGACAGGCGTAACTTCTAGAAATGGCAGCATCTCCCCATTTCAGCCAGAAGAGCTCAAAAAGTACAGATTCTGCATGAACTCTGGGTGCAAGCCCATTGCAATCCTGGGTTGGTGGACAGTAGGGTAAGCCATCTCTCTGCCTGACAGAGCTATGATAACAAGTTCAACCTGTTATTTTGACTTACAATGAGGGGTGAAGATTCTGACAAATAAAGGTTGGGCTTTTAGCAGATTGCTCATTGTTATGGTCAAGGCATTAAGTTTTAAGTTTAATTTTGACAAGAGATATAGAACAGAAAGGAAAGTGTTTCAAATATCAGCTAATGGTCAGGTTAAAAAAAAAAGCCAAAAACCCTTTTCTTTTTAAAGAATGAATTTAGAAGTACTGGTACATTTTTTGAAAGTTTTTTTTTTTTTTAAACTATGGTAAAATGGACATCAAATAAAATTGACCGTCTTACCCATTTAACTTATTTGACTGTCTCTCAATCAATCAATTTATTTGGCTGCATCAGATCTTCGTTGCATCAAGTGGCATCTTTCCTGGCAGCGCACACAGAATCTCTAGTAGCATACAGGCTGTCGTTGTGGCATACGGGCTTAGTTGCTCTGTGGCATGTGGGATCTTAACTCCTCAACCAGGGATGGAACCCGCATCCCAAGCATTGCAAGGCAGATTCTTAACCACTGAACCACCAGGAAAATCTCCATCTTAACCATTTTTACGTGTACAGTTCAGTAGTGTCAAGTATATACACATTGTTGTACAACGGATCTCCAGAACTTTTTCATCTTATGAGGCTGTGGTGCCCACTGAACATCTTTCCACTCTCCCCTCCTCCCAGCCCCTGGAAACCACCACTCTACTTCCTGTTTCTGTGAATTTGACTACTCTAGATGCCTCAAAGGGTGGAATCATCCTTTTTGTGTCTGCCTTATTTCACTCAGCATTATTTTCTCAAAGCTCATCCATGTTGTCAAATGGATACATTTTTTCAGACCCACTTCTGTATAGGCTTTGTTTAATTGGGCTGAGCCTAAAGTCCAGGGCCTATTTTTAGAGATGCTTAATTTTTTCATGAGCATTTTGTCTGCATTTATAATATGTAAAAAAGAATGCTTTGCTTGTAACCACCCCGTTCAAACAGCAGGGATTACCACAGAGCAGTGCTCTTCCATTTAATTATACTTTTCCCATTAAAGTATAATCATTTATTAAGATAATTAATCATCAATAAATAGAGAATAGTATTTAAATAAGATGGACTGTGCCCTGTGTGTTTTAGAGTAGGGGTTGTCAAACTGCCCCCAGCTCCTCAGAGACATGTGAGGGGCCACCAAGGAGGGGACTGGGCAAGTTAAATGCCCACCTCACCCACCTCCACCTTTAGTCAGAGCAGCTCCAGTTGCCTGTCTCATATTATGGGCTCCTGCATAATATTTTCTTTGAATAAAAAGTTTCCATAGTGTGGTGTCATTAGTGCTATCCATCAAATATTCTGGCCCTCCCTACCTCTAGAGATGCTGGGGATTGTGCTTCCTGAATTTCTGATGGTTGGGTGAAGCCCTGGGACTGATTCTGGCCAATGAGGGTGTCATTGTGGTCTGGAGCATTTAATTCCCAAGGAAAGACCCTCCAGATCACCCTTGCCCCTGCTGTTTCCTTTCGCCATGGTGTTATGGACTGCATGCTTTGTCCTCCCCAAATTCATATGTTGAAACCCCAGTCCTCAATGTGATGATATTTGATGAGAACTATGGGAGTCCTCGTGATGGAACTGATGCTCTAGTAAGAAGAAATGAGAGAAATCTTGCTTCCCTCTGCTCCAGGCTATGTGAGGACACAGCAAGGAGACAACCACCATCTAAGAATCAGGAAAAATTCTGTCATCAGACACTGTGTCTGCCCACACCTTCGTCCTGAACTCCCCAGCCTCCAGAACAGAGCAAAATAAAAATGTGTTGCTTTAAGCCACTGAAATTTGAGAGTTGATTTTTCACTGCAGCATAACCTGGCCTCTCCTGACCAATACACATAGCTTTTTTAAAGTGTGAAAACCATTATCTGGGGAATATAGAAATGCTTAAGTCGATCCAGGTACCTCTTCACTAATCTTTAACTCATCTAAGTACAACTTAATCAAATCTTGCTTTCTGTGGCCTTAGGTTGAGGTAGGGTTTACTTATCATTTCTTTCTTGTACATGCTCACCACTCACAGTTGTCTGGGACTTTAGAAGTTTCTGGAGTTTCACCAAAGAGTTAACTTTTGTAGCTATTCTGATGCTGAGAATTTTAACTTTACTCGGGAAAACAATCCTTTGTCATGGATATTCTCATTCAGCTCTGTAATACTCCCATTTCAACTGTTTATACAGCGGGGAAAGTTCCAAATCCATTTCTTAGTAGCCTCGTGGTGAAGCCATACTGAGAGACGGAGAGGAAGGAAAAGAAGATGAGGAGTGGGAGGGAGGCAGGAGCCAAGGACCACTTTCGACAGCCAGGGTATGTTGCTGATCTCCTTTCCTAACCATGTGCTTCAGACCTAGTGAGGTTCTCCTGCCCGAGACTCACCTGATGGGCTTGTCCAAAATGCACGCTGTTGTTCAGTCTGCACTGGGAATATCGAGCTGATTCCCATACACACTAAAGCTTGACTAATATTATTAAAAATCATTCTGGTCACCCCAGTTGCCCACATATACAGCACCAAAAATGTTCTTTTCTTTGTCATATTGGACAATTACACTTTTTTTGGCCTAGTCTCAATATCCAAAATATAACTTTTTGTCTAAAAAAATTGTTGTAGTCATTAAATTCGCAGCCCACATCAAAACTCAGCTTTTCTAGTATATAGTTAAACAAAACATACCAATATTTTGAAATGGAGTAAAATGTTCACATTTTGTGCACTTACTCTTTACATACTTTAAACTGTTGCATTCTTAATTTAAAGTCATTCACCAAAGCAAATAGACAAAGACAACCTGCAGTAACTGATTGCAATGAAGCCAAGTGAGCAGGAGTCAAAGAGGACCTGGGCCCCCAGGATTATTATAGAAGCAAGACATTGGTGATTGATACTGATCGTCAATTACATGTCCCAGACTTGACACGTATTATCTCATGTGATCCTTGTAACCACTCTTTGAAGGAGGAATTATTGTGCTTATTTTACTAGATTCAGAGAGGTCAAGTCACTTGCCCAAGGCCACACAGCTGGGAAGCAGCAGAACGTAATTTATAAGACTTACACCTCCAGCCATTGGCTTTCAAAATCCATGTACCAAGCCATTCGCCTTGTGAGGAACTATCTGAGACATGAGGAGCAGGGGAACAAGAGAGGGTAAACTCAGGCTGGATGGAAAAAACGGCCCAGAGGGTATCTTTCACCTAGACCAAATCATTCTTAATTTGCAAGACAAACCTCAGGTTATGGCATGAGAAATACAGAAAGACTGGATTGAATGCTAGCATCTCCTCTGAAGAGGATTTGCCTGATCGGGGAAAAAAGCCACTTCAAATATGGATGTTATTTCATTTGGTCAAAGTAGGTCAGAGGAGATGGGCAGCGTGTTAGGTGCTGGGTTGGGCGGAGGAAATTAAAGTAAGATGGAAAGAACACAATGATGCTACAGCGTTTCTGCTCACCTGGGTAATATCACAACCCTCCATCGAGGCAGCGACATTCACAGTTCTGATATGAAATGTCACCAGGACAGGCTGGCATACACAGTCGATCTCAGAAATAACTGCTAACGTGGAAAAAATTCTACGTGTTGTTGCATTTTCAATTCTATTCCTACAGGACTGGGATGGGAAGGAAATAAGCTAGAGAGAATGTCCTCTCATTCGCGGTCA